AAGTCTATGAGGGAGTCTGGCCAGCTGAATCACGTGCTGCCAGCCGCTCACAGGCTCTCAGACTGTTCCTTCTCTGCTCAGTTGTCTTCTATGTTGGCTTATACCCAGGCAGTTTCCCTCTTCCCTGCAGATCTACAAATATCTTGGGATTGGACTTGGGGCAGATGTCCATTGCTAAGCCCACCACTAGGTCAGGGGATAGTGTATAGAATAGAAAGATGAACCAGGCGGGAGACACCTGACTCCCTAGGAACCACGATGTGGGCAGTCAGCCCGACGCAAACCACATGCACTTGGTGTGAGCGAGGTCGGTTCCTCGAAGAAAAATCTCGAGGCCCTTAGCAGAATAGGAGGAACAAGTATGAGTGGACCCAAGCAAACCCTGTCTATTGCAACAACCTGTTGCAAGACTGAGCCCCACACGGGGTGCCTGGGAACAGACTCGCTCACTTGCAGAATAACCATAGTCTTGACCCTCAAGGTGCTCACAGGCAAGAAGGGGAACCAAAGTGTCACTGGGGGAGGAGGTACATGCCTTGAGAAACACACAAGTGAGGTGACTTAGAAGGAAGCTAGGATGACTCTTGAGGGGAATCAGGGCTGGGCACTTAGAGCAGAGGGGAACATGGAATAACGATTCCAGGTGACCTGACACACAAAGGGCACTGGAGGGGAATTCTGGGTCGTGAGGTAAAGCCAAAGGTTGCTGAGAAGGAGAATGACAGGATCAAATACGGTGTAGGCAGCTCTGGGGGCTCTGTGCAATATGAAATGCAGGGAGACCAGCTGGGGGATTTTTCCAGAATCCGGGAGAGAGATATGCATGGCAGGACTAGCCTCACCCTCCCCTGGCCCTGGATAGTTGGGTCACTCGCTCGCTCAACTACCATCTGCTCCCTTGGCCACTTCATGGGTGTGTCTTTGAGGTTCCTAGCTAGATTGTCACCTCTGCTAGGATAAGGACTTTGTTTTTGTTTTAATTTTTTTTTTTTTTTTTGTCAGAGAGAGAGAGGGAGAGAGAGCAAGCACAGGCAGACAGAATGGCAGGTAGAGGCAGAGGGAGAAGCAGGCTCCCTGATGAGCAAGGAGCCCGATGCGGGACTCGATCCCAGGACGCTGGGATCATGACTTGAGCCGAAGGCAGCTGCTTAACCAACTGAGCCACCCAGGCGTCCCTAGGATAAGGACTTTGGACTTGGACCTCTTGGATTGATTCTTTTGCTTTCTTTCTCCTCTTTTATCTCTTTTCCATCTTTTATCCATCATTGATCTTTTTGTTCTACCCTCTCTACTTCTTCAATTTTATCTTTCAATTTTACAATTTTAATTGTAATCTCTAGGGCAGTTTAACTCCAGGGAAAACAAAGGGTTATACAGGAGAGGAAAGGGGCTGCTAGCACGCTGTGTGCTTCAGCTGTGTGCTGGTTTACGAATGGTATCAGTTTTCAATATTGACTTTACTACAAGGAAACTTTCAGTTACGGGACAAAGCCCACTCCATAAAGTGGTCCTGGGTAGTAGGGTAGTAGGGAACTTTCTGTTCCCTCTTTGGTTTCCTTGTACTTTATACCCGCCCTCCTCCCCAAAAAGGTGGGATTATTTTTATCACTGTCATCCAAGACTTGGTGGAAGTTAGAGGCAGAGTTGCTCTAAGGAGGACCTATGGGAGACCTAGGGGCAGAGAATGTCACTTCCCTTTGATTCAGTGGCCCTTGCGCTCTGGTGTGGGGCTGTGTCTGCCAAAAGATGGGCCCCCCTTTCCAGTTTTCACAAAGAAGACATGAGTCCATGATGACCTCATCTGTACCTCTAGAAGTTTGCATCTGTTGAAAAAAATGAAGCATAAATAATATATATGTATACCCCCGAAGGAATTTTATTTATTTTTATTTTTTATTTTTTAAAATATTTTATTTATTTATTTGACAGAGATCACAAGTAGGTAGAGAGGCAGGCAGAGAGAGAGAGAGAGAGGAGGAAGCAGGCTCCCCGCTGAGCAGCGAGCCCGATGCGGGGCTCGATCCCAGGACGCTGGGATCATGACCTGAGCTGAAGGCAGAGGCTTAACCCACTGAGCCACCCAGGCGCCCCCTCCTCCGAAGGAATTTTAAAATGAAAAAATTTATAGGGGAATGGCCTAGGCCTTCCAAGATGGGGGACATCATTGGGGGAAAGGCTTAGGAGTGAGACCTACCCCAGAGCTCTACTCTGGGTGTCTGGCATTTGGATTTAAACTTCTGCCCTAGGGGCGGGCACCTGGGTGGCTCCATCAGATGAGCCCTTGACTCTTGATTTCAGCTCAGGTCATGATCTCATGTTGTTGAGATCAAACTCCAAGTCAGACTCTGTGCAGCCTGTGGAACCTGCTTAAGATTCTCTCCCTCCCTCTCCCTCTGCCCCCACCCCCCTGGCCCGCTCCTGTTCTCTCTCTCTCTCTCTCTAAAACAAAACAGAACAAAAAGTATTCCTATCTCTCTGCCCTGTCCTCAGTGAGTATTCGTATCTCTGAGCTTCACTGCCTCAGTTAAAACAGGTGGGGCGCCTGAGTGGCTCAGCCCCCTGAGTGGCAGGCTTCAGCTCAGGTCATGATCTCAGGGTCTTGGCACCCAGCCCTCGCCCTCTCCTTCTGCCCCTCTTCCTCCCCCTGCTTGTGCTCTCTCTCAAATAAATAAATAAAGTCTTTATAAATAAATAAATCAGATGGAGGTAATTTTTACCTCCCATGAATGTTGGGAGGATGCAGTTCAATCACGAAGATAAAACACTTATCCTGGTGTCTTCCTGACCTGCCACTGGGTATCCTGTACCTAAGGCTCCTTATCAGAAAACTCTCCCATAGGACTTGGACCTCTTCAGACACTCTGCATGGGGTTGCCTGTGTCAATCCTCTTCTTAGTTCTCCAGCTCCCATAATAGGATCAAATATCAGTTCTGTGTTGTGTGAGTTACCTAAGAAAACCTCTGGTTTCCCTGGAAGGCGGATAACACACACACTGGTAGTTACGGTCAAGATCCTCCTTAGCCAGGAAAGGGATAGGCTGGCCAGGGCAGCTGTGTTTGGGCCCAACACTGGGGTCCCCAGTGCTCTGCAGGATTTCCCAGAAACGGGAGAGGCCAGCTGTCTGTAATCAGAAAGTGCCAGGAACTTAGAGATGGAAGTCCTGGGCCGAGGGTCCCTCTTTTCCTGTTGTTTCTCTGAGCCTGGCATCCTTCACGTAAAAAATGGAAACCGTAATGTCCACCAAATGGAGCCATTGAGTGAAATCCTCACATCTAGCCCTTGTAGTTCAGGAGGCAGAGCTGCTGGGTGACCCCTGTCTGCTCCGGCAGCCTCTGGAAAAGTGGGATCTGCTCACAATTTAGACCTGCCTTCTCCTGGAGGTGACATGGGCAGGGAAGGAGCTTCGAGGGGAGCAAATGCTGTGAAAGCAAGGAGGATATTTCAGGCCCCGCCCTCCCAAAGCAGCTCGTCCTTGGGATCGTGGTAAAAGCAACAGGTGCAAGGAGGGAAGAAGTCTGGGACCTCAGGGTGCACAAGCTTGGCTCTGCATCCCTTTCACTCTGTGGGACAAGTGTGATATTCTTAAAATCCAGTAAAGGACCCTGGAGGTGGGCGCAGGAGATGCTGGGATTCCCAACGTAGGTGACCTCAGAGTGTCTTATCCAGGTGGAGACCTCCCCTGGTGCTGCCTCACCCAACACAGCACCAGCCACAGTAGCCCTGGGCCAATGTATGGCACTAGCAAGCCTTCTATCATGTGTGTGTTCTAGCAGCTTCTTCATGGCAAAGCCCAAGAGGCTGGATGTTACCATCCTCATTTTGCAGAGGAGGAAACCGAACCTTGGAGAAGTCAAGTCACTTGTGCCCAGCTCCTAAGTGGCATCAGAGGGCTCACTGCAGCCCTCTCGCCTCCACCCAGCAGGAAACACCATCAGTTCACACCAACTTGAAAAAATGTGCTCAGGGGCTGGGCTGCTCTGTTCCCACCTCCAGGGGACTTTCTGTCCGTCTGGGAATGCAAAGCCCTCCCACTGTGCAGGGACGTCTCCTCCTGTGAGACTCTGACCCAGCGTCTCTCCCACTTTCTCAGGCCCTGAAAAATCTGCAGGCATCGTCCATGGATTGTGATTGAGGCGGGTAGCTCTCCCAGCAGCCCTGAGCTCTGTGAGTAACCTCAGCATGGAAAAGGGCAGATGGGGGCCAGGAGCGAGCCTGCCTGCTGTCCTCTCTCCCTTTACTGCTTTCTTCTGCACATTCCCACAGCTCCAGAAGGATTCCCTCCCTCTGCAGTTCATGCGTCCTGTAGCACTTGACTCCCTGTAGATAGCAACATTTAGGGTGTCCTATGTCGTTTACTTACTTTTAATAATAGAAGCTGCATCTGCTTGTTTAAAAGAAGCCAGACAACCCAGAAGCACACTGGGCAGAAAGGGCATGTTATCCGTTATGGGAGTTAGGACATGCCCTGCCCCCCAGGCTCATTCCATTACTCCAATACCAATACTAATCCCCTTTTTACAGATGGGTAAACTGAGTTACAGACAGATGAAGCGTGTGGTCCGGGATCACAGGCTAGAAAGTGGCTGAGCCTGGTGAGGGAGTCCAATCACCTGTCAAGCTGTTGAGCTAAACCTAAAATTGTCTCCCTAAAAAGAATTCTGAAGCAAAAGGTGGGAATTCTGTTTTAAAAATAATATTTCCCTCGCCAGAAAAAGAGAGAGAGAGAAAGGGGAGGAGAAGAGGGAGGGAGAAAGTAAGGACAATATACATTTCCAAAGACATTCTGCAACCGGCCTTTTGCTCTGCATAGACTAGGTTTTGGTAGATGTCTTAAAGTCCTATTCCCGGAGAGTGCCCTAGCGAGATGGCCACAGTCCAGGCTGGGGAGGAGGCCCCCATCTGGCGGGTGGTCAGAGTGGGGGTTGGGGAGGGAGGGGACTGCTCCCTGCAAGGCGTTGGGGTGTGGCAGGGCGAGTCCCTAACGGCTGCACTCTCTTCCCGCAGGCCCCCAGCGAGAGGCATGTGGCTGCCCCGTATCTCCAGCACGGCGGTGACCGTGCTCCTGCTGGTGCAGACCTGCATCCTGCTTTTCCTGGTCTCCTGGCCCAGGCCGCCGTCCCCAGCCGGCGGCAAAGAGCGGGTGCACGTGCTGGTGCTGTCCTCGTGGCGCTCGGGCTCGTCCTTCGTGGGCCAGCTCTTCAGCCAGCACCCCGACGTCTTCTACCTGATGGAGCCCGGGTGGCACGTGTGGACCACCCTGTCGCAGGGGAGCGCGCCGGCGCTGCACATGGCCGTGCGCGACGTGGTGCGCTCCGTCTTCCTGTGCGACATGGACGTGTTCGACGCCTACCTGCCGTGGCGCCGCAACCTGTCGGACCTCTTCCAGTACGCGGTGAGCCGCGCGCTGTGCTCGCCCCCCGCCTGCCCCGCCTTCCCGCGCGGCGCCATCAGCAGCGAGGCGGTGTGCAAGCCGCTGTGCGCGCGGCAGCCCTTTAGCCTGGCCCAGGAGGCCTGCCGCGCCTACAGCCACGTGGTGCTCAAGGAGGTGCGCTTCTTCAACCTGCAGGTGCTCTACCAGCTGCTCAACGACCCGGCGCTCAACCTGCGCATCGTGCACCTGGTGCGCGACCCACGGGCCGTGCTGCGCTCACGTGAGCAGACCGCCAAGGCGCTGGCGCGCGACAACGGCATCGTCCTGGGCACCAACGGCACATGGGTGGAGGCCGACCCCGGCCTGCGCGTGGTGCGCGAGGTGTGCCGCAGCCACGTGCGCATCGCCGAGGCCGCCACGCAGAAGCCGCCACCCTTCCTGCGAGGCCGCTACCGCCTGGTGCGTTTCGAGGACCTGGCGCGGGCGCCGCTGCCAGAGATCCGCGCGCTCTACGCCTTCGCGGGCCTGAGCCTCACGCCGCAGCTGCAGGCCTGGATCCACAACGTCACGCACGGGTCCGGGCCCGGAGCGCGCCGCGAGGCCTTCAAGACCTCGTCCAGGGACGCGGTCAATGTCTCCCAGGCCTGGCGCCACGCGCTGCCCTTCGCCAAGATCCGCCACGTGCAGGAGCTGTGTGCCGGCGCGCTGCAGCTGCTGGGCTACCGGCCCGTCTCCTCCGAGAGCGAGCAGCGCGACCTCACCCTGGACCTGGTGCTGCCGCGTCGCCCTAGCAGCTTCAGCTGGGCGTCCTCCACGGATGCACACCCCTAACCTTAGCGCACGCCCCTATTTGCGGCGCTGGGGAGGGAGCTGGGCACGCAGGGCGCACGCCGCTTATTGGAGGGGCCAGGAGCTTGGGAGTCCTCCTCTGTAGTATGAACGGACTGGGTCCCCAGAGCTCCGTGTTTCTTCTTGCTTCTGAATTTTCTTTTGAGTCTTCCTCAGCAGCTGGGTTCCCATCGGGCGCACACTTCATGGAAAACTGTGTCTGCCCCTTCCTCTGCATGCAGGGAATAAGCTCAGACGATCTGGCTGCTCCTCCAGCGCTTTCTTCCTAAGTTTCTTTTCCTATTGGATGCGTTATCCAGCATCTGAGAAGGAGTTCCCAGCCCTGCCTGGGAGTAGGGAGAGGCACTGTGGTGAGCTGGCCCGCATTCCCGACTTCGTTCCCCCATGTCCCACCACCACAATCAGAGCTGTTGGCCTTTATATTCACTCGGTACTTTCAGAAAGAAATCAGACAAGATGCTTCTTACCTTGTGGTCTCCCCGTAGCCTCTCTCTGCCCCATCTCCTGGGAGCCCACATGCCCCCATTGCCTTCCCAATTAACCTGGGGTGAACGTTTGATTTGTCCTGACAGTAATGATCCTACCCACAGAAATAGACATCATAATTAAGCTTGTGATGCTAGACTTCACAGTCTGTAAAGTTTGACAAGCAAAACGCAAAACTGAAAGGACTTGTCCAAGGTCACGTGATGAGGAGGAGGAAGGGAGGAGGGGGTTTTGCTCTGAGGCTGCATTTAGAAGGAGAGGGTCAATCAGGCTTGCAGAGACCTGTCTCCGTCCTGAAGGAGGGTCAGATTTTTCTATCCGTTTGTGTAATGGAAGAGCAAGCAGCCATGGCTGGAGCCACAGCCGCAGGATATAGGGGGTGATGACATGTCTGGGCCCAGAGTGCAGAACCTTAGAGAAACTACCGGATAAGCACCGAGGGAGGCAGTGAGGGGGAAAGGTAGAGGGAGAAAGGAAGAAGGGGTGGAGGGAAGCTCCCAGAACCTCTGGGAAGAACAGGGATGCAGAACTGAGTGTGCACAAACTTTAGGGCATGGAGTTGGTGCCGGGACTGATAGTTTTCAGCACATGTGTGCCAGTTACCTCTGGAAAGGAGTGGGCTGTTGCCATCATTGCCAGGAGGGATATTCTGGAGGTTGCTAGCTTCTTTTTTTCAGCCCAAGAGTGTGGCCTTGGATTGGTGGGACCTCAATTGTGGATCCCTATTTTTGCTGTGGAGCAGGTGGTCAAGGGGGAGTCTGGTGTTTTCCACTTATTTTCTTGCAGGGAGCAGAGAGATACTGACGTTGAAGCTGAAGCTTCAGCACACCTCAGTTAAGGATCTGTCAAGCTGTAAAAACTTTAGGCCTCATAAAACCTCAATCTGCCCTTCATATTAACATGGGGAGGATATTTAAAACCCTGAATGTATTGGGGCACCTGAGTGGCTCAGTCGGTTAAGTGCCTGACTTTGGCTCAGGTCATGATCCCACGGTCCTAGGATGGAGCCCTGCACTGGGCTCCCCGCTCAGCAGGGAATCTGCTTTTCCCTCTCCCTCTGTCCCTCCCCCCGGCCCTGCTCAAGCTCTCTCTCAAGTAAATAAGAACTAACTAAATAAATAAATAATTGAAAGCCCTGAATTTATCATTGGGGACTCTGCAACTTAGAAAGGCTTAGGCCACATAGCCTCATATAAGGGATACACCTCAAACTCACATCTCTGACTTCAGGGCTTACAGTTCTAACTGAACTGGGTTGCAGTAAAGGACCCCACTACAGGCTTGGAAAGCCAGATCATTTTCTCCAGTAATGACGGGGTCTCTAGGTGTGAGGGAGCGAGCCATCCCAGCATTTGGCTGGCATATGGCTGCACACATCTCCAGGACTGGATGTTGAAGGGTATGGTAAGCAGTGGCCTGGGGCACTGGGGCTCCTGCTGTTGACCACTTTTTCCCTTCCTGTCCCTTCCTGTGCTGGCCACTGGGGATAAAAGTAGCCTGCTAGTCTGCCCGGAAGGAGTGTAATGTCAACTGGAGGAGTCAGCCTAGGAAGGTTCCTGGACAATGTAATATGTTCAGGTGAAGAGGGATAAGCAAGAAGTTCATGGTGCCAAGAACAGAAAGACACGGATCCCTTGGGTCCAGGGAGGCTTTTGGGATAGCTCACAGCCCAGCCTGATCATGGCATCATACAAGTTTCATTTACCTCTGCTCTGGTTACAGGCTGTGTTAACGGCAACAATTAATGATCTTTGCTATGTGATTTATCCATTCTGGCTGCACACCCGGAGTCCCAGAAAGGGGATGACTGGCTCCCAGAATTCACTCCCTGTGTATAGTGAACTCAGGATAAGCCTCTGGGTGAGTTCCCTGACATATCTGGTTCTAAGCAAGCCTGGGGGTGAACCCAGATCAAGTTTCAGGACAAGGACAGGCGGCACCCAACTCAGTGGTTCAATGAGTCAGGCCAGTTCAGACCCTGGGGACATACTGGGAGACCAAGGTGTCACAAACCTTGTTCTCGCAGGGAGTGCAGACCCAGAACAAATAGTCCCACAGATGAACATGCAAACATAGATGTCAATTGTGCTCTAAGAAGAAACAATAAAAGTGGGGAGAGGATGACCTACTTTAGTATGGGGAGTAAGGAGGACCTCTTTGGAGAGGAAGCATTGATTTGAATACATGAAGGATGGATAGGAGCTCATCAAACTCCTTGACAGGGGGAAGAAAAGGAGCCAGAGAAAGAGTGAGGGATGGGTCCCCTTGGAATCGGTTTCCTTGAAAAAATTAAAATTTAGGCTCATGAGATGAGAGAAGCCCCCAAGAGGTGGTCAAGTTTGTGTGTCTCTAGTAAAGGAGAACTGCTCGATCAGAGAGCTTTCATGTCTTTAAAGGTGAAACTGCCGAATGACTCTAAAGGCGGAATAGCAACTTATACCCTCCAGAATGGGGTCAAGATGCCCTTCCCATCCCTCTCCTACTCACCACCCCCACCCACCACCATCACCTGTGCAGGGTAAATCAGTCCTTTCATTTTTACCTGCCCGATGGAATATTATTCCGTGCTAAAAAGATATGAGCTATCAAGCCATGAAAAGACGTGGAAACTGAAACGCCTATTACTAAGTGAGGGGGAAAAAAAGCCAATGTGAAGAAGTCACATCCTGTACAATTCCAACTATATGACATTCTGGAAAAGGCAAAACCATGGAGACACTAAAAAGATTAGTGGTTGCCAGGGGACAAGGAGGGGAGGGATGACTAGATGGAGCGAGGGTTTGTGGGGCAATGAAAATACTCTCCATGAGGGGCGCCTGGGTGGCTCAGTGGGTGAAGGCCTCTGCCTTCAGCTCAGGTCATGATCTTGGGTCCTGGGATCAGGTCCTGGGATGGAGCTCAGCATGGGGCTCTCAGCTTGGCAGGGAGCCTGCTTCCCCCCTCTCTCTGCCTGTCTCTCCATCTACTTGTGATCTCTGTCAAAAAAAAAAAAAAAATCTTAAAAAAAAATACTCTCGGGGCGCCTGGGTGGCTCAGTGGGTTAAAGCCTCTGCCTTCGGCTCAGGTCATGGTCTCAGGGTCCTGGGATCGAGCCCCGCATCGGGCTCTCTGCTCGGCAGGGAGCCTGCTTCCTCCCTCTCTCTCTGCCTGCCTCTCTGCCTACTTGTGATCTCTGTCTGTCAAATAAATAAATAAAATCTTTATTTAAAAAAAAATACTCTCCATGATCCTATAGTGATGGGGATATGTCACTAACAATTTGTTCACAATCATAGAATGTACAACACCAAGAGCAAACTCTAAGGTACACTAGGGACTTTGGGTGATTATGATGTGTGCATGTAGGTTCATTCTGGGTAAGAAATGTACTGCTCTGGTAAGTGATATTGATAATAGCCATGAATGCGGCCATGAATGTGGGAGGGCAGGTGGTGTATGGGACATCTCTGTACCTCTTTATTTTGTTGTACACCTAAATCTCTTCTAAAGAAGTTAAGTCTTTTTTTAAAACTGCAGTAAAAGCATTGGTAGCCTCAGGAGGGTGTGAGAGTCTGCTCAGAAGAGAGGGTTTGGCCGACCACTCAGAGACCGAAGCAATCACCTCAGATTGGACTTGAATTTTCCTGGAATGGCAAGTCCTTCAGCCAATCTTGGGTTCTCTCCCTTAGGGTTATGACTGGAGAACCTGGTTGGCCCTATAGTTCTAGTGCCATTGTGATCCCAGTCTCCAAGTCCTCCACACCTCCATTCATTTGTTCAATACACATTATGAATTGAGTGTCGACCAGTGCACAAGCAGGGAATGATCATGGCATTAGGAATGTATGCACATAGGGTTGTGAACTGCAATTTTTAATGGGGTGATCAGAGTAGGTCTTATTGAGAAAGTGACATTTGAGCAAAGTCTTAAAGGAAGTGAGTCAGTTAATTAAGGGGTAACTACTGGTAGACTGTCCCAGAAGAGGAAAAAGACAATACAAAAATCGTTAAGGAGGGAACCCATTTGGTATATTGGAAGAACAGCAAGGGGCTAGTGGGTCTGTTGTGGTGGGCCAAAGGGAGATTGCTAGGAGGTGAGAAGGTAAGAGGGAGGGAGTCAGATCATGTAGGACTTTGTGGGCTTTGGTGAGGACTTGGGCTTTTACTTGGAATGAGATAGAGGGTGTCCAAGACCACAGTTGCTCTGTGGCACTCCTTTGTCAAACAAATAAATATGCATATAATATTATATATGTGTATAATATGTCAGATATTTTAAAAATAATAGAAGTACCCAGTTAAATAAATATTTCATTATTATATCACTGCCTATGTTAGTATTCTGAATTAGTGTATTGTCAGTTTTTCAATTTTTTTTAACTGGATTTAAATTAATCACACTGTGGGGGGCACCTGACTGGCTCAGTTGAAAGAGCATGTGACTCTTGATCTTGGGGTTGTGAGTTCAAGCCCCACACTGGGTGTAGAGATTACTTACATAAAAAATAAACCTTAATGGGGCACCTGGGTGGCCCAGTGGGTTAAACCTCTGCCTTCGGCTCAGGTCATGATCTCAGGGTCCTGGGATCGAGCCCCACATCAGGCTCTCTGCTCGGCAGGGAGCCTGCTTCCTCCTCTCTCTCTCTGCCTGCCTCTCTGCCTACTTGTGATCTCTGTCTGTCAAATGAATAAATAAAAATTAAAAAAAAATAAATAAACCTTAAAAAAATTAATCACACTGTGGCCTTCTTCTGCAACTTAGATATTTCCTCACCTTTATATTCCTAGGCCTCATAACGTTGCTTGCAGGTTTAAGTCGTTTATTTCTACTACTCAACACTATTTTGTTGAAAATTATATCACAGTTTTGTTTACCCATTCCTGTCTTGATGGACACCTGCCTTGTTTTCACTTGCTTCCTATTACCACGCTACTATGAACCATCTCGTATGACTCTCCTGCTACAAAGACTGTAGGATATTCATCTTGGAGTGACTTGCTAGATCATGAGAATCTTCATCCAACATTATTCCAGAATGGCTGTTGTCATTTTAGCCCTCCAGAGCTCCAGTTGCTCTACATCCTCACCAAACACTGACATTCTCAGACTTTAAAATTTTTAGTTATTGGGTGGTTGATAAATTATCTCATTGTGACTTCATTTTGTGTTTCACTGATTAATAATGAGGTTAAGCGGGCGCCTGGGTGGCTCAGTGGGTTAAGCTGCTGCCTTCAGCTCAGGTCATGATCTCAGGGTCCTGGGATCGAGTCCCGCATCGGGCTCTCTGCTCAGCAGGGAGCCTGCTTCTCTCTCTCTCTCTCTCTCTCTCTCTCTCTCTGCCTGCCTCTCCGTCTACTTGTGATCTCTCTCTGTCAAATAAATAAATAAAAATCTTAAAAAAATAATGAGGTTAAGCATCTTTTCCTATTTTTGTTGGCAATTTATATTCTCTCTTTGATGAAGTAACCTATTCAGGTCTTTTGTCTCTTTGTCATTTACTTTTTTTTTTTTTTATTTTTTTTTTTTTTTTAATTTTTTTTTTTTTTTTTTACAGACAGAGATCACAAGTAGGCAGAGAAGCAGGTGGAGAGAGAGGAGGAAACAGGCTCCCTGCTGAGCAGAGAGCCCGATGTGGGGCTCAATCCCAGGACCCTAGGATCATGACCTGAGCCGAAGGCAGAGGCCTTAACCCACTGAGCCACCCAGGCGCCCCTCTTTGTCATTTTCTTATTGAGTTTTAGGAGTGTTTTATAGATTCTGGATACCACTCCTTTGCCAGTTACATGTATTGCAAACATCTTTGCCCAGTTTATGGCTTGTCTTTTTGCTGTTTTTATAATAACACTTGAATAACATAAGTTCTTAAAGTTGTTAAATTTATCAAGCCTTTCCTTTATAACCTTTGCTTTTTCTATCTACTTTAAGAGCTCCTTCACTGTTATGAGGTCATAATGATATTCAGCATTTTCTTCTAAAAGTTTTATAATTCTGCATCTCACTATAAGTGAAATAAGTGAGACAGGTGATGGAGTTCTGAAAAACAAAAGATCTTGTTACTTCATAATTTTCTTGCAGGCTTCTGTTTTTCCTAGACTTAGTATTGCCTTTCAGTTTTTTCACATTAAGAGAAGAAATAGGTACCTTCTTTACCCTGTCCTTAAAAAGTGGAACTTCTTAACCATTTTGTCCATAGCTTGAAATCAATTACACTATTTTTCCTGAAGACACTCTTCTTTCTGTTCTAATCTGGTTAGGTGGCTGTTAGGACTTGTGCACAGAAGTCAGGCTAACACTCCTGGTTAAATCCATCATTTCTTTCACTGCACATCTTTCTCTTTCTTAACTTCACTGGAGGACAAACTCAACTTTCTTAGGAAGAACATATAAAACATACATTTTCTGAGTCCTGCAAGTATAAATGTCTTTTTAAAAAAGATTTTATTGGGACACCTGGGTGGCTCAGTTGGTTAAGCGGCTGCCTTCGGCTCGGGTCATGATCCCAGCGTCCTGGGATCGAGTCCCACATCGGGCTCCTTGCTCGGCAGGGAGCCTGCTTCTCCCTCTGCCTCTGCCTGCCACTCTGTCTGCCTGTCCTTGCTTTCTCCCTCTCTCTCTCTCTGACAAAAAAAAAAAATTGCTAAAAAAGATTTTATTTATTTGACAGAGGGGGGAGAGAGAGACAGACAGACAGACAGAGAGGACTAGCAGGGGGAGCAGGAGAAGTAGAGGGAGAAGCAGCCTCCCTACTGAGCAGGGAGCCTGACACGGCACTCCATCCCAGGACCCTGGGACCATGACCTGAGTGGAAAGCAGGTGCTTAACTGACTGAGCCACCTGGGCTCCCTAAATGTCTTTTTTTTTCAACCTTTCAATTTGAAATTTGACTGGGGATAGAACCGTAAATTCAAAATAATGTTCCCTAATGTGACACACAATTGATTGTCATATAACCCTAAATTAAGTGGTTTCTTCTACTTCTTACACATGGGTGGTCTGGGAAATGTACCAAAAGATAGTATTATTAAATATTTCATGACTTTTTTATGCTTACTATTGCTATTTGAGATAGGTTTCTTGGGTGATGCAAAATCGCAGTTGCAGTGTTGAGGCATGGACATTAGCTCTCAAAACAAAGTCTTCAGGGGCACCTGGGTGGCTCAGTGGGTTAAGCCTCTGCCTTTGGCTCAGGTCATGATCTCAGGGTTCTGGGATTCCCACATTGGCTCTCTGCTCAGTGGGGAGGCTGTTTCCCCTCTCTCTGCCTGCCTCTCTGCCTACTTGTGATCTCTGTCAAATAAAATCTTAAGAAAACAACAACAAAGTCTTCAAGAGGGAACTCTAATAAACAATTTGCTAATGTTCTTGAATTAATATTACGTAAAGTACTATGAATTTACCACGCAATGCTTAATATTACGTAAAATGCTATGAATTTTGCACGGAACGTTTAATTTAAAGTATTTAAGTTTTCAAAAAAATCGCTTCCCCTCCAACTGTTGAAGGTACTGCTACTGTCTTCCAGATCCCTTTTAAATCTGCACGTCAGGTCTGGGTGGGTATGCAATTCCCCTACTTTCTTGGAGGTGGCGCTGCAGAGAAGGGCAGAGAAGAGCGCACCCTCCTGGACAGGAGAGACTTGTCCAGTAGGGGGCGTAGCCCGTGGGTGCCACTGGAGAGCCGTGCGCAACGTCAGGGGCGGGAACAACTCTCGCCCCGCCCCTGCCATCTGCGGCGCCCTGTGATTGGAGGAAGGGCCATCTCTTGGCCGCGCGGGTGGGGTGGGAGGAAGAGGGCCCCATTCCAGGGTGAAGCTGAGGCGGCGGAGGTACGGGTAGCGCTTCGGTCCGTGAGTGCGAGCGAACCTCGGCTGCAATTTGGACGCTCTCTCCATCTCTCTGCAGTGAATGGCGGCGGGATGGAGCACGAGGGGAGCGGCGGCAGCGGGGGGTCGGCCGGGCTCCTACAGCAGATCCTCAGCCTGAAGCTTGTGCCACGGGTGGGCAACGGGACCCTGTGCCCCAACTCCACTTCTCTCTGCTCCTTCCCAGGTACCGGCCCCGCCCCGTGCCGCGCTTGCGCACTGTGCGTTTTGGCGTCGCCGCCCGGCAGGGGGGCGCCTTTTCCCCAGCCCGCGAGCGGGCGAGCGAGCGGGCGGGTGGCTTCTGCGCCCGGCGGTCCCACCTTCCCGGGGCTGTTTCCCTCCTGGAAGGAGGTTCCCGCTCTCTTGGCGGGGAGCTAGGGAATATGGCCCTTCCCCCGTCGCTTCCTCGCCCGCACCTCAGGCCCGTCACTGCGACCCCGCGCTGGGGGCCAGAGCGGAGGGAGCGGCGGGGAGTGGACTGGTCAGCGGAGGGAGCTCGACGGCCACTCGGACTTATCTTGCTTTTGGAGTTTCCTGACGCCCCAGGGTCGGACTGGGACTCGAAGGAGCCCCGGAAGCGGTGGCCCCTCCTTGTTTGGGGCGCGAGGCGCCTGGCCCTTGCGGTCCGCCCAGCCGCGCGGCTCTCCGCCGCTCTCGCCGCTCAGACGCCGAACCGTCCCCGCCGGGCTGAGGGGCCGAACGCAGCGCTGCGGCTCCGACGGGGTCTGGTCTCGCCCAGCCCCCGGCACCCCCAGGTTGTCTGCGGTTCGCTCGCACCTCCGTCCAAATGCGCCCACTCCGCCAGCTTCTCTTTCTAGGAATCACTTTCTGAGACCTGTTGCCGAGTTCCCCACTCATGCGTTCGAGCTCTTTGACACAGATTACTTATCACTCTTCTTAACGTCCACGGGAGCTTCTGCTGGGTCTCGTGTAAGGGTTTTTTCAAAATTATAATACAAGGTAGAAAGTTCTGCATGCTCAGAAAAATGGGAGGAAGAGCAATTATTTGGGAAGCTGATAAAGGCTTTGAGGGCAGGGCACAGTTCTGTGTTGGACCTTTAAAGGCAAGAAGACACTACGGTGGCGATTGAAGGGCGAGGTTGGGCTGCCCAGCAAAGCTGACTGGTACCTTGACTTGGTAAACAATTTGAGAACTGGGCCTGAGACCTGGGCTTGAGACCTGCAAAGGAGGGACGATTGGATTACTGACTTCGGTCATAAACAAGGCACCTGTGATTTCTCATCCACTGGGAAGCGACTGCCAGGCGCCATTCAGTGGACACCCGGGACTTGCTGTGTATTTTACCTGCCTAGTATTTTCCCCGGACAGCTGGGAATAACCGTGTTGGTGCAGATGCAGATGTTAGTTTAGAGCTATACCTAAAATGGGGCGCTCGGGTGGCTCAGTGGGTTAAGCCTCTGCCTTCAGCTCAGGTCATGATCTCAGGGTCCTGGGATGGAGACCCACGTCGGGCTGTCTGCTCAGCGAGGAGCCTGCTACCCCCCAACCTCTGTCTGCCTGCCTCTCTGCCTACTTGTGATCTCTGTCAAATAAGTAAACAAATAAAATCTTAAAAAAAAAAAAAAAAACTATACCTAAAATGATGATCTGGCAACTCTCATTGTTTCAAAAGCTACTAAGATCACATTTGACATTGACAACAGAAATATATGGCATTCTGCAGACGCTGTTTAAAAAATGAAGTGTTCATGCAGTCTGGAGATACTACTGGACCAGATTAGTCTGTTGTTGCTTCCTTATTTTCCTCCCAACTCTTTATTTTGAAATTTTCAAACATACTGAAAAATGGAAGTGCTAGTATAATGAGCATATATCCTTTACTTAGACTCATTTTTAGTATTTTTATTCTTTTGAATCTCTGTGCATATATATGCATATTTGTGTGTACTATGTATGTGTTGTGCATATATATGCATATTTTTGTGTGTATTGTGTGTGTGTATATATATATATTCACACATGTAACATTTTTACTTTCTGCAGAGCCATTTGAAAGGAAGTTATCGAAGTGATGGCACCTGACTCCCAATACTTCAGCATGTATCTTTTAGAATGAGTCCACTTTCTGTCATAGCCAAAAAATCTTTATCACACCCAGGAAATTTAACAATAGGATCATGGTGTCTGGCATCACCTGACTGGCTCAGTAGGTGAGCATGTGACTCAGTCCAGGGTTTTGAGTTCAAGCCCCATGTTGGTTATGGAGCCTACTTAAAATTAAAAAAAAAAAAAAAAAAAAGGAATAACGTTGTCTAATGTACAGGCCTTATTTGAATTTTCTAGTTGTCTGAATAATGTCTTTTATAGCTTTTTTTTTTTTTTTTTTTTTACAAAAAACCCCAGATCTAATCAAGGATCACACACTGCTTTTATTTTTTTTTTTTTAAGATTTTATTTATGTATTTGACAGAGAGGAAGAGAGAGAGCAGAGGCAGGAAGAGCTGTAGGCAGAGGGAGAGGGAGAAGCAGGCTCCCTTTCTCTCTCTCCAATTAAAAAAAAAAATCTTTAAAATACCCTGTGGTTCATCACTATCAGGAAGCTTAGAATTGATTTTTTTTTTATCTGCATTTGCAGTTTAGCCATTTAGATTCTGACTAACCCTCCTTATTCCAAGATGTTTAGATTTCTTTTGTTGTTGTCATCATTTTTTTGGTAAATCTGATGGCCAAGAAAGGCAGAGCTTTCCTTTTATCAGGAATGACATTAACTCTCTGAAGGTATGAATTTTATGAATATCAATGTAAAAGTATGTGTATTATAATTAAACCTACTTATGTTCGGTTGCACCATTGCTAGAGTCAAGAATGGGTCAACAGTTAAAGAAATGAGTCACAATTGGAGCAGTTACTTATTCATTCACTCAAAAAATATTTGCTCAATGTCTGTTGCCTGCCTTTTGTTTTCTAGGCACCAAGTAAGGATGTGGTAGGGAACAAAATAAAGGAGCTTTCATTCTGATGGGGATAGAGAGAAAATAAAATTAAAAGTATGGAAAGGAATAACTGGTGGTGTGTAAGACGGTAGGGCGGGCAGGCAGTGGCCCTTGTGTGTCAGGGTTGGAATGCTGTTTTATTTCTGCTTTTGTTTTTTAAGTAATGTATTTATTTATTTGACAAAGAGACACAGCAAGAGAGGGAACACAAGCAGGGGGAGTGGAAGAGGGAGAAGCAGGCTTCCCACCAAGCAGGGAGCCTGATAATGGGACTTGATCTCAGGACCCTGGGATCATGACCTGAGCCGAAGGCAGACACTTAACGTCTGAGCCACCCAGGCGCCCGTGTTTTTGTTTTTTAAAGAATTCATTTATTTGTCAGAGAGAGAGAATACAAGTGCATACCTGCCCAAGCAGGGGGAGGGGCAGGCAGAAGGAGGAATAGGCTCACTGCTGAGCAAGGAATCTGATTCAGGACAGAGTCCCAGGACCCTGCAATCGTGACCTGAGCCAAAGGCAGAGGCTCAACTGACTGAGCCACCTGGGCTTCCTGGTGGAATGCTGTTTTCCTTAAGATCACAAGGAAGCTCTTAACAATGATGCCACTGGAGCTGAAATCTAAAGTACAGAGGAACGAGACACACAGCTATTGGGAGAAGGACATTCTGGGCAAAGGCACAGCAGGTTCAGAGCCCTGGAACGGGAGTTTGCTTAGGAGACATAAAGAAGGGCAGCAAGGAGGATGGGACCGTGCAGGCAAAGCGGGGAGGAGGAGGTGAGGTCAGATTCCAGAGGGTAGTGTTGGAGGATTTTGATCAGAGGAGGGATGATCTGATGGACTTTTTCTTTTAAATGTACAATTCAAAGATTTTTAGCCTCCACAGAGTTTGCAGCCATCACCACAAGCAACTTTAGAATATTTTATCACCAACAAGAAACCTCATCCTCATTAGCTTTGTGTGGAGAAGGGCAGATCAGGACAGAGAAGGTCTAGCTATAGGCTGGGGACCAAGAGACCACTGTGGGGGGAAAGGCCAGACAGGCACACGCAGAAGCCAGGGATGAGCAAGCAGTCAGGCAGGTGTGTCAGGAGAGAGGTGGCAGCCCACAGTGGGTGACCCCGGTGGGCAGGTTGTCATTGTTAGGGTGGAGTGGAAGGGTCTCTAGGAAATTAACTCCCTGCTTTCCTTCACTGTTACATGATTCCCCCATTCACGGTACTCCGACAGCAGTTTTATGGGTTCTCTACATCGAGCGATCCTGTGACACCGTTTGGGTGCCGTGCCCTGCCGTTCGGTTCAGTTCTACACTGTCTCCCTGGAGTTAGCACCAGATCTCCCAGGTTAAGGGATCAGTTTCCCCACTTGAGATGCCAGTCAGAAGTCCAGGTTGTCATGTGTGCTTCTGACCAGCTGGCTCGGAGTTGGTGATAGCTACGACCCCCTTCCTCGGTTCAGTTAATTTCTAGAGCAACTCACAGAACTCAGGAAAACCGTTTACCTACTAGATCGCTGGTTTATTACGTAGGATATTAAAGGTTACAAATGAGCACCAGATAAAGATATACGTAGGGCGAAGTTCAAAAGGGATTTTGAACAAAGGAGCTTCTGTCCCTGTGGAGTTGGGGGAGTGCCACCCTCCCAGCACATAGGTGTAGTCACCAAACCCAGAAGCCTCCGAACGCCATGCATTCAGGGTTTTCTGGAGGCTTCATCACGTACGCGTGATTGATTATTAACTCTACTTCCAGCCCTTCTCCCTGCTCCAGAGAATGGGGGGGTGGGCCTGAAATTTCCATGCTTATAATCATGGCTCTCTGGTGACCAGCCTCCATCCTGGAGCCCACCGAGAGCTGCCTCATGAGAACGAAATTGGTGTTGGAAATTCCAAGGGATTTAGTTCTGTATCAGCAACCCGGGTCAAAGACTAAATATTATAACAAAAGATTTTCCTGAAGATTTATTTTAGATAGATCACAGATGCAAGTGGGGAGAGGGCAGAAGGAGAGAGAGAATCTTAAGTGGCCTCCCTGCTGAGCACGGAGCCTGACATGGGGCTCAATCCCCCAACCCTGAGATCATCACTTGATGTTTAACAGGTGGAGCCCCCCAGGTGCCCCCCAGCACCACCATTTTAAGGGTTTTAGGAGCTCTGTGTCAGGAACCAATATATATATTTTTTACTATTTCCCAGGGTAACAGATGGACCCCACCCCCACCACCCAGTTGGTGG